GGGGGAGGGATGGCAGAGGAGGTTCACATATATAGGTAGGCCACGATGGAGGATAACTGGCTAGCAAGTCATGGCCTAATCTAGCACTACCATATATACCTGTACGGTGCAGATTTATTTCCTTTTTCCATCAAATGCACACCTGTTAATAAATTAGGCATTGAGGGATGGCACAGGAGGTTAACATATATTGGTAGGCCATGCAGGGGAAGGCTGGGTAACAAAGTAAACCCTTTACATGGTGGTCACCTTAATGACCACATTAATGAAAATGCATGCAGTTTCATACTACATATATTGGCATACTTGAGTTTCTACTCATAATGTTCGTATAAAGAGTAGGAACATATGTCAGTGTGTCTTTCTATCATGAAGGTTATTTCTTTAATATTTTTCCAGCTTTATACAATATTAAAATGCACTCAGTTTCTTATTACTATGTTTGGCCTACATATGTTGACTATTGCATGGAAGCTATTTTCCATAAGTGCCATAACACCCAGTTTATTTGTATCACTTCTTGCATGTGATCCTGTTGTGAGCTGCAAACTCGGATCACCTTGCCAGATGCTGCTACTGATGACCCCCTCTCATAACTGAGTCACCACCTGCAAACTCCTAGAGTAAAAGTCACATGCAAATTCAATTAACCTCATGCTGTTTGTTTGCAATACTCTCATTCATACCTCTTGATTGTGAAGTTGTTGTGAGTTGTTAAATCGGAAACTGTTGCCAGTTGCTACTTCTGATGACACCGGCAACGAGATGACTGACCACCTGCAAGCTCGAAAAGTGGGTGTTAGTTGTTGGAGCTAGCATTCAGATCCAAGGAGGTACATCCACATCATATGAGTCAGTTATGTTTAAATTTCCATGTATAGAAACATTGAATGGTCCAGGAACCCGTATTTTTCCATTGCAGGTTCTAAAGGGATTGATGATTGTACAGGAGTCCACTTGGAATGAGCACAAACAAACAGCTACAGTACTACCACACTACCAAAACTGGTCCAGATTTGTCAGTACGAGCACAGTAAACAATCAGATTTGTAAGGGTTAACTGCGCCATAAACGAACAAGGCCAACCTGGGAGGGTCACGCCGGTCCAGATCTTGGGCCTTCCACGGGTTCGGCCGCAGATCCGCTGATCAGCGGCGGATCATACGGGATCTTCCTGTCTTTTCACTCAGATGGCGGCGGCGAAGGGATTGAGCGGCGGTGACGGAAGCTGGGTGTACGTAGGGAGCGCTGGGGATGAGCGGCGGTGACGGAAGTGATGGGGATGAGCGGCGGTCACGGAAGCTGCGTGTACGTAGGGATGATAGAGACGAATGACAGCGACGGGCAAGTGCATCGAGGGCGCGACGATTCGGGTGTGAGGGTTTCTGTTGGGAATAGTACGATGTGGTTAAATTTCGTAGGTTAACCATGGTAGATTTTTTTAGGTGGATTTTCTGTCGCTGAACCGTACTGTTTCACAACGGGCGTCATTGTAGAATGCCGTTTTTTGGGTCGATCGGGGGGGAGGAAGTGGGGGGTCGGTGCGTAGCGGTAGGTGCGACGAGGTACCAAAAAAAACCAGGGAGATGGAACGAAAATTGATCAGCAGAGACTACCAACTGCTCCATTAGGAGTAGAGATCTTGAGACAACTAGGGGCAGCCAGCTCCGCCCGGGGCAGGATCAAAATGTCATAGGCATACTACAACACAAGGCATGGCCCCGTAGCAACTGGGCGGTCCGAGAGTTCAGGGTCCTGCCTAATCATTTGTTGTAGAACAACCGCCGTCAGAATGAAGAGGTACGGCGACGGGGGGCGCCTTGACATAGCCCGCGTTTGCAGTCAATCCATGGCCCTGGCACACCGTTGAGGAGGATGGCGGACTTGGAAGAGTTGAAGATCGCCATCATCCAGTCACACCAACGGGAGGAGAAACCACTGACCTCCAAAACTCGGTGCAGGGCTTGCCAGTTGACGGTGTCGAACCCTTTGGCGAAATCCAGCCTAAGGGCCACCGTTTGCACTCCCCTAGAAAAGCACCGCTGAACCACCTCGGTTGCAAGCACACATTTTTCCTCTATGCTTCTCTTTGTCACAAGCACAGGCTGATCCAGATCTACCAAATTTTGAATCTGCCCCTACAGCCTTGTAGTTAGTGTTTTGCAGATCATCTTCACGGGGAAGTTTTGCAAAGACACCAAACGGAAACCTCCTGGGAACGGAGTACCAACCGTCTTCGAGAGGTGGAGAACGTGGGCTCTGTTGATACAACCCAGATTAGCATCGCCGGCATGGAAGGCATCGAACAGTTCTCCAAATTGTGGCACCACCTCTCCCTAAGCCACACGGTAGAAACTTGGGCCGAGCCTATCGGGACAGGCGCACTGTTGTTTGAAATCACTAATGAGCACTCTTTGCAAAGGTCACCCCTCCCACTCTCCATGAAGACAAATGGTGCACTACATGTATGCCCCTTATCGCAATCTGTGAGTATTTTTGTTTTTCATAGATCCATTTATTTAAAATATTTTATCTTTTAAACCGTGCATCCAAATCTTGAACCGTTTTACCGTTGGGTTCTAGTGTCGAGATCATTAAAATTAAATCCCATGTTGATAGGTCTTGACGAATTTGTTTTCATGAAAAAGCTGAATCGTGCCTCTTGCGCAAGCAAAACCGTGCCACTCGCGAAAGCAAATCTGTGTGTTTTGCGGTGTTATTTTTTTTGTTTCCAAATGCCTCTCGCGGAAGCAAATCCGTGCCTCTCGCAAAAGAAAATTCATGCCTCTCGCGGAAGTAAAAACAAAGAAACGCATTTTTTCACGCAAAATAATTTGTTTTCGGGAAAAAATTGTCCAAAAGTAAAGAAAGACCGGTGGAAAACTGAAAAGCCAAAACCCCCCCAGAAAAAACATATAAAGGCCGAAAACACGTGCGGAAAAAGGAAAATAAATCAAAGGAATCGCCCAGAGCGCGACACCACAAGGACGAACTACAATTCATCCAAAAGTCCGAACTGATGAAGAGAGGCACGCAATATATTTCAATACCCCTTGCATATGTAGGCTTATTCAGTTCTTAGACGTGAAATTTATGTAGGCTGCAGAATCATTTTTTAATAATGTGTTGGAAGAGTGTTGAACTCAAGACCTCCTGACTCGGATATCATATTGAATTTCGTGCTCCCTATAACTCATCCAAAAGTTCGAAATTGATGAAGAAAGGTGGGCAATATATTTCAACATAGCTCACGCAAGCTCCAGGAGACCCCTCTCTTCCGGCGACAGGGCCCGGCATTCCTCAAAGAAATCAAACAACTCCACTAGAAATTTATAGTTATTGTCAAAGTAGGGAATGAACTTGTGTTCTTTTTTCCGTACCATGGCAGTGAAGCGGAAACGGTTGATTTCTGCCACAGGATCATGGGCGTCATTATGAGCGGAACCAGAGTGGACTAGGAGGAAAAGTTTGAGGGGGAAAGACAGGGTCGAGGAGCCAAATGTTTTCGAAGAGGAAGTGAGAGGGGTTCGGAATGGACGCGAAGGCAGTGACGAGGAGGGGACAATGATCCGAGGTGGGGCAGGGCAGAGAGGAGAGCGACGAGTTCGGGATTGGAGTTCGAACAGGTGTTAAAAAGGCCCTATCGAAGGGAGCGCGATTAGTCTAGGAAAACAGACGATCTAACATAGGGAGTTTGAACCAAGACAGTCGATGGATCATGGCATTAATTTTGGCCGCAAGAGATCTGCAAATTATTCTTCTCGTACTGATAGCGAATCAGGTTGAAATCCCTCACTAGAAGCCATGGTTCACAGACAATGGCCAAGGCAAGCATTTCACAAACGAAATCATCCGTGAGAGAATAGTGAAAGGGAGCATATACACGTTTAGGTGGTGGAAGCAAGAGAGGCCGAGGTGGAGAAGGTGGAAGATGTCTCGCTCACGATCCGTCTCTTCAAGGCAAGCAACAACAGGACACACTGTGGCCATATTGTCGTGAACCACGCTGCAGTTAACCCATCGCATGAAAATTCCAAGACAAGAACAAGAACGACTTCAGGTTCACACGATCCATTATAGAGAAGGGCACCTACTGAGGGGCAAACAGGCCTAGACAACATGACGGAAGCCACCCACAAGACCGGTGGGGGTAGCACATTAACCCAACACGAGCGAAAATTCAAAAAAAAAACCCATCACCCGTACATTTTAAATGGTGTCCATGTCCCTCTTCACTTGCGCTGCAATGCGAGTAAGTGTATGCATTCACTAACACAACAACCAAATTAAAGCCTCGTCCTGCTCCCACCACCACCATATGCCAATATATCTCTCCAAATAAGCTTTCCTCCCGCTTTATAAATAAATCAACGGTCCATACAAGCTAGTTTGATTGATATATTGCTACAATGGGCGGACTGCATAATCGTACCGATTGGTCTCATTGTTTTGAATCTGATTTGATCGCATGTTAACTTGGTAAACAATCAGTGTCTTCTTTGTGTTGGTCAAGTCATTATCTCCTTTTTGTAAAAATACTATCATGTTAATTAGTGAGTTCATCCGAT